CGTGATCCGTGGCGCGTCTACGCTTTCTGATACGCTTGATCATTACGCAAAAGAAATGCTACCACAAAAGAAGAAAATCAGCCGAGTAAAATAAATGACGCGAATTTTAACGCACGTTCGCAGGTGCGCTTGCACGCGCGCTCGCGTACGCCCTCGCCTACGCGCTCGCCCTTCGAGCCGGTAGGAAGCACGAGTCCACCGTCGACAAGTCCGCACAGTGACGGACAAAATGTTACGTCACAATTTATATTAAACATACATTTTTATACTTTCAATTTGTGTGCGATTTTAATGTGCATTAGTGTGCACTGGATGGATCCAATTGAATTCGCTGTAAGATAGAACGACACAACGTGTGAGCACTAAAAGCGAATACATTCAATGGATTTTCAAATAGATTTCCACGTCACCCTTGAGGTACTATTGTTGACGTGTTTTTTTAAAATGGTATCCCCAGTAGGCCTAGTCCACTGATAAAAATGATGAATTGTACGACCATTTAAATTTTAAATAATTGAAAAAAATAACAGATCGAATTAAATTCTATCCAATTTTCGGAATCCTTTATTGGTGAGGGCAGAAACGTCGATTTGTATATTACTTGTAGCGACCCGCATAAGACGAGGTAAAGTATCATCACTCAAGGAAGAACGTCTTTCATTTTTTATTAATTTCATTTTGGAAAATGATATCTCACATAAATATGTGGATCCAAACATAGAATGAATTCGAAGTCCGAAATCTCGAAGCTTGGGGTATGATGATTCTTTCAACATTTTGTAAAAATCGACACCAGTTTCTTGAACCGTTTTAAGCGAAATATCATTCTGTAAATCAAATAATTCATCCTGCAAATCAAGATGCTGTTCTTCAATTGGAGCTGTAAGGGGATTCTCGAAAAGAATTAATTCGGTTTTAAGTTTCTCGAAGCAAGTAAACCGCGTATCGAATTCGTCTATAAGAGAATCTATAAAATGAGTATATTCTTTGAAATTACAAATACTGCCATGTTCTTCGAGAATAATCTGACATGAAGGAAAAAAGTGAAATATATTACTATTTAAGTGACATTTCAGTGCCTGTAATTTTCTTCGAAAAGAATTAACATGACTGACTAACTGGGAAATATTTTGATCCGTCTTTTGCAGCTTTAAATTGAGAAGCCTAAGTTGATTACTTATATCAGTAATAAAAGCGAGTTCAGTAAGAAATGTGACATCTTCCAAAAGGGATAAATATTCATGAAATTTTGATTTGTTCATTTCTTTTAGAAAAAGAAGGATTTCTTTCCTTATTGCGAAAAATACTTGTAAACATTTCGCAGCACTAAGCCAACGAACTGGACAATGAAGTGGGACATCTGTGTAAACAGCTTTATGTTCGTCAAGAAATAATTTAAATTTTCGGTGAGTCAGGAATTTATGTCCACCTTTAATTTCATTGATTATTTTAGTGATAGTCTCCATAGCTGTTGAAAGTTTTACAACTTTACCGGCTAATGCTTCCTGATGTATTATAGTATAATGAATAATGGGGATATTTAAATTTCGTTGTTTTAATTGACCAGCAAATCCTATCTTTAAATCTGTCATCGCTCTCGCGCCGTCAGTTGTAATCGAAGAACATTTACTAAAATCTATGTTAAATTTTTGAAGAATTTCTTCAACTGCCAAAAAAATATCGAGGCCTGTTGTTATGTCACGTAATATAACAAAATCTAAAAGTTCCTCGACACATGAGTAATCGTCTTGCACAATTCGAGTAAAAATACTCAGTTGGCTCATGTGTCGGATATCGGTACTTTCATCAAGGCACAAAGAAAAATATTTACATGATTTTAGAAGATCCTGTAACTTGTCTCCTATAGAATCATTTATACCAGCAATTCTTGTAGTTACAGTTTTTGAACTAAGGAGAATATTCGCTGCTTGCTCCAAAGTTAAAGAATTGCCAAAAGCTTTTACTGCTTCGATGATACAATTTCTTACAAAGACGCCTTCGGTAAATGGCTTAGAATTTTGTGCTAAAAGCAAAGAAACAGCATAAGACGCTTGTAGGGATTTTTGAGAAGAATTATCATTGGAAGAAGAAGAAGGTATTGAATTTTCTTGATAAACTAATTTTAAACCTTCGATAACACTCAGTTTCTCTGAATTTGAATAATTTGAATAATCTTCCGCGTGACGTCTTTTGAAATGTCTATCAATCACAAATTTTTTAACCACCGAAGGTTCACAGTAGCAAAGTAAACAAATCGTCCGATCTGAAATACAACTAAAAAAATAATTAATTTCCCAAGATTTTTCAAAAACTTGAATATACTTGTTTTTCTCCATCCCCGAAGTTAATTTCTCAATAGAATAATCAAATGGGATGTATTTACCTTTGCGCTACAGATAACAACTTACCTCTTTGCTGTCTCGATCTGCTGAATGTCTGCTACGATCCCGCGAATTTCACAAGATCACTAAATTTCACTAATTTGCTCTGTATCTCTGTGAGGTACGAAAAACGAACCGTATGCTACGCGCGATCACGCGAATTTCACAAAACCGCGTCATTGTAATAGCGTTGAACATGTCGAATTTTGTGCCTGGAAACTATGATTTGCGGACTGTTGCCATTTGAAGAAAACTGCTGCAGAATCGCATCGAACGCTTGTCGAAGCTTACGGTGAGCATGCTCTTGGTAAATCACAATGCTTTGAGTGGTTTAAAAAATTCAAAAGTGGCGATTTTGAAGTGAGAAACGAAGAACGTGGATAACCACCGAAAAAGTTTGAAGACAGCGAATTGCAAACATTGTTGAATGAGGATGACGCTCAAACTCAACAACAATTCGCGGATCAATTGAATGTGACACGAGAAGCTGTCTCCATATGTTTGAAATCCATGGGAAAGATCCAGAAGATGGGAAAATGGGTTCCACATGAACTGAATGAAAGACAGCAGGAAAACAGAAAAACCACTTGCGAAATGCTGCTCGCCAGGTACAAAAGAAAGTTATTTCTCCATCGAATTGTGACTGGCGATGAAAAGTGGATATATTTTGAGAATCCTAAGCGTAAAAAATCATGGGTAACTCCAGGCGAACCATCGACATCGACTACAAGGCCAAATCGCTATGGACGGAAGACAATGCTCTGTGTTTGGTGGAATCAGAAAGGTGTAATCTATTATGAGCTGCTAAAACCTGGCGAAACCGTTAATACTGAACGCTACCGACAACAAATGATCAATTTGAATCAAGCTTTACGTGAAAAACGACCGGAATATCAAAAGAGGCAACACAAAGTGATTTTGCTTCATGATAATGCACCACACACAGCAAAACTCTATGGTCAAGGAAACGATTGAGGCGTTTGGTTGGGAAATACTTTCGCATGCAGCTTACTCGCCAGAGACTTGACTCCGTCCGATTACTACTTATTTGCATCGATGGGACACGCACTTGCTCAACAGCGCTTCACTTCTTACGAAGATGTACGAAAATGGCTAGATGACTGGTTTGGCTCAAAAGAGCAACAATTTTTTTTTTGGCGTGGCATCCACACATTGTCAGACAGGTAGGAAAAATGTATAGCTAGCGATGGGCAATACTTCGAATAAAATATTTTTTATTATTTTCATGCAATAAACGTGTATCTTCTATTAAAAAATTCCGGTTTCATTATATTTACATACCTGGTATATGGAGATTTAAAAAATATTGATAAAAAAAATTTAATATCTTGTAAAATTGAAACCATGCAAATAATTTCAAAATATATAGAATAAAACTTAGTCTTTAATTGATACTAAAATATACAAGTAACATACAGGGTCATCGAAAAGTATCGGACCCCCCTAATATTTTGAGTTAGAATGCATTTTGGAGAAAATGTCCAATAGCAAAGTTGTATGGTTTCAAGCGAGGAGTAAGATGATGACCTTGACTTTGATCTTGACCATGTCCTTTAAGGTCATTTCAAGGTCAACCTTATTTTTTTAATTAGAACCCCCTACATTTTATTGCATATTTTTATAGCTTATCTCGAGAGGTTTCCAAAACACTATAATAAAACATTTTTTTATTAAGTACTTTTTGAGTTATAAAGGTTTGAAGTTAACAATTTTTGAACACAAAATGTAAAATGTCTTGTAAAATATTATTTAGTTTTCAGTAATCATAACCTTAATACTTTTGTGCGCGGAATAATGAGACCAATTAATTGGTTTAAAGAAAATACGTTAATCAAAAAATGTCGGATTCCCCTAATATTTTCAGTAAAAATGCATTTTGGAAAAATGTCCAATAGCAAAGTTGTGCGGCTTCAAGCGGTTATACTTAATGAAAAAATGTTTTATTATAGTGTTTTGGAAAGCTCTCGAGATAAGCTATAAAAATATGCAATAAAATGTAGGGGGTTCCATTTAAAAAAATAAGGTTGACCTTGAAATGACCTTAAAGAACATGGTCAAGATTAAAGTCAAGGTCATCATCTTACTCCTCGCTTGAAACCATACAACTTTGCTATTGGACATTTTCTCCAAAATGCATTCTAACTGAAGATATTAGGGGGGTCCGATACTTTTCGATGACCCTGTATATGTGATTTTATTGCTATATATGTATACATACAGAAATAAAAGTACAGTTTATAATAAATGTATATATTTTGTAAGCAATTTATTTGTATGTATTATAAAAGAATACAAAATTAATACTTCTAAATTCTCCAAAACTATACATTTTTATCATTAATCCATAATTTTAATTATGTAGTCAGCATATATTTCAGCTTCAACATAAAATGAAATAATTTGGAAAAGCAACCGTAGTATAAGTTTGTATAAAAATCTCCAGAAACTTTCTGAAAAATATATTATTAGAGTGTAACAAATATATTATCAAAAATTTTATCATAAAAGATACAAATTACCTTATATAAATGTTGTATTTCACATTTAAAAAATATAGGAATATTTATTCTGGATTATATCCTCTAAAGATATGATTCCATTGCCAAGGAACTGCTCCTTTATTTGAAAGATAGTTTGTCATAGTATTTCAAAGTTCAATTACACTTCTGGAAGGATTATATATATTTGCTCCTAAACGTCCAATTCTTTCAAAACTATCCAAATGATCGTTTCTAAAGATACCTGATGTAATACTGCCATCAGAATGAATTACATCGATAAAAGATGGAGGACATACTCTTTTTACATATACTCTTTTTTTCCGCCAAAACATCTTTTTCAGAAATACGTAAAAAATTATGCAAGCATACTGTAGCTGCAACTATTTTTTCTACAGTTTCCACATCAACAATAATATTATTTCGTAATATTCGCCATCTTGATGACAAAATGCCAAATGCATTTTCAATCGTTCGTCGTGCTCTTGATAATCGATAATTGAAAATTCTTTTTTGAATATCTAAATTCTTTCCAGGATAGGGCCTTAGAATATAAGATTTCAACGGAAAGGCTTCATTTCCTACAAAAAATGTGGAAACATACTATTTGTATTTGGCAATGACGAATCTTCTGGTAAGCTTATTGCACCAGATTCTAATGCTCGTCCAAAAGTTGACTCTTTAAATACACCTCCATCACTTTGTGAACCAAAGGTACCAATATCCACAAGTGTAAATATGTAATCAGCATCACAAACAGCTAATAATATGATACTAAAAGATTTTTTATAATTAAAATAGGCACTTCTAGATTTATCTGGAGCCTGAATGGTTATGTGCTTTCCGTCTATAGCACCACAACAGTTAGGAAAATTCCATTTTTCAGAAAATGCTTTACTCTTGTCTTGTCAATCATCAATTGTTGGTGTTTTTAAATAAATTGGAGAAAGGATCTCCCAAATAGCTGCACATGTTTCTCGAATAATTATTGATGCCGTTGTTTTTCCTATCATAAAAGACCATGCTACTACTTGCATACTACAGCCTTATGTTAGATAATTAAAATATAATTTATGTTACATTATTATTTGTAAAAACAATTAGATTAAATTAGATTTATAAAACAATAATTTATTATAATTTATAAAATTTATTTACATACTATAATGTAATAACAAGTCTGTGTTCAGGACTTATTGGTGGTCGATTGCTATGCTTCACTAATTTGTGTCGAAATAAGATTCAATAATGCATAAAAACATTGGGGTGACATTCTCGTATATTTTACAAAGTGTTCTTCATCAACTTTTTTCATGTCAGAAAATAAATTATGAAAATGTCCTTTAAGTCGTCTTTTTCTATTTATTGGACGTACGCTCCAAGGACGTTTTCTTCTCTGATGTTCTCTGATGACTCTTTGATGTTCTATTAGTAATATGAGAAAGGCCAAGAATAGTTAAAAACATTCCGCACATAATTATTTCATCTATATCCATTTTAACCAAAAAAATTATTTTTATAACAGCTTCGAGATTTATTGACATTATACAAAAGCATATATAGCTTCTACACATTAGACGCGGAAATGCTTGCTGCATGACAAGACACGACGCGGTAGCAAATAAACGTAGTTTTTTCTTAGAAATTGTAAGTTTATTGGTTACTGCGTCGCATATCTGACCACGCGGTATCCAATGTGCACAAGCCAACATTGGTTTACGGCATGCAGCAAATCATTATAAACCAGAACATCAAAATTTACGGCATAAGTTTACAGTCTTTAAGTTACCGGCATACGGTTACGGTCAATATAAATCAGGCTTAATACTTCCACCATGTATCTATTCTAAAGTCTGCTGAAGGTGGTTGAAGGCAGGGTTGCCAACTCAGTAAGAATTCTACTATTTCTAGTAGCTTTGGAATAGGCGATTGAAGGAGAATTACATAGGCAGTAGTACCACAGTATAACCAGTAGGGAACACTCGGCAAAAAAGTGCGTGTTCGCGCAGGTATGGCTGCGCAGCTTTTGTTTTTGGCCGGATCCAATGAAATACAAGATGACAGGAACGTACATGTTACCACATACTGTGATGTTACACAGATCCCGTGTGAGCAAATATCCGTTGCAAAAGAAAACAATTTAAGAGCTGCGCCTTAAATATTTCTAAAAAATGGATTAAAAAAAGAAGAGTTATGACAATCTTGCATTTCGCGGGTTTTCTCCGTGTTCAACTATCAGATACTGATAGTATCAGGCTGCTCCTCGCCCTGATGAAGTGGACTGCAAGGTTCACGAAACGTTGGCATTCCAAGAATGGATTTGAACACGGAGAAAACCCGCGAAACGCAAGATTGTCATATAGGAAACACCCGTGAAAGCCTCAAGAATATTAAAGAAGAGTTATGTTAAATGCAGTATTAAACAATGCGGTAATAATAGTAAAAGTTCACAATGCACTTTTTTTCGTTATCCCAAAGATATCGAAAGGTAAGTTTTTATAATTTACAAAAAGTAAGTAGTTTATGCTAGGTTAACTTAATTAAACACAATCAAATGTAATTTTGTGAAATAAGATAATATTTTTACATTGACTCCGTTTACACGGCACCCTTAATTATGTTTTTTTAGAGCAAAGTAATGGACTATCGCATGTCTTCGAGAAGATCTTATGTCTAAACCGTACTTATTGTATAAGTGTTACAGAGTTTGTAGCAATCATTTTGAAAATACTATGTTTACAAACTATTTAAGAAATAAATTGTGTCATAATGCGATTCCAACTTTAAAAATGACAAATATTAGAAATGATGAGAACATTCAGGTCAGTATGTCATTCTATAGATATTTACAATAAAATGTATTTAAAATAGAATCTAGTGTAAAAACATTTTGTTTGGTTATAAGATAAATATTAATTTGACAATCTAATTCACAACAATTTTAAATCAATTTGTGTAATTGAATCGAAAGTGCTGTGTCCAAAGTGTCAAACGCAAAGACATAAAGCGTGAATCGTCCATATCTATATACCGGGTGTCCCAGACCACCGGTCCACCCCTTTTATCTCAGAAGCAGAGCATTTTAGAAAGAAACGTTTCAGACAAAAGTTATGGGGTTCTAAATGATTTATTCAGTGATCAGATCAGTATGACCTTGGATGGCGTCACCAAGGTCAGAGCAATGTCACTTTGAATTTTTTAAATGGAACCCCCTATTTTTCATCGCATATTCTTGTAGAACACCTCGAGAGCTTTCCTAAACACTATAATGAAATGTTTTTTCATAAAGTACTTTTCGAGTTATAAGGCTTGAAAGTTACAGTATTGCCGGCATTAGCATTTCCCAAGAAGTACCAGGTGTAGAGGTTACTTAATCGGATTTAATCTCGTGTATACGTGAGTGCATACTTGCGTAACGGGCGTACATGGGAATGGAGAAAGGAAGTCGGAATTACATATACAATGTTCTTATTTCTATTTGTTAACTGAACTGATTATGTTTGATGCTCAATCAGGTCCAGATAAACGCATGCATTTTCCCGTGCTTAGCATTAATCAGGATGAACGACATGGACGTGACGAGAATTTCACGTGACGAGAATTTCATCCAATTGGGATGCTTGATTCGCGTGAGTCCCCTTGCCTCTCACGTTCGGGAATGAATGAGTGTGTATTTGGCTAAACGATTAAATGTTCAAATTGAGCACCATTCTCTGTAATGCAAACATCTACTCTATTTTGAAAGGAATGGATTACTCGAAGAATTTCCTCAGCACTCAAGGATCGAATTGCTTCACTTATTCTACGAATCATATCGTCCCTCGTAGTCGGACGTTCATGATAGACCAAGTCTTTTATCCTTCCCCAAAAATAATAATCAAGAATGGTAAGGTCTGGTGATCGGGGTGGATAATTGATCGGACCGTATTTGCCTATCCACTTGTCGGGAAACATAGCATTTAATGCTGAACGAGCAACTCTCGATGTATGCGACGGACATGCATCTTGTTGGAACATGTCCAGGCGCAATTGCAAAGGAACATTTTCTAGTAAACAGGAAGATCTGTCTCTATTAAGGCGGAATATCTCACCGTTTAGATTTTCGTCAAAGAAAACTGGACCTACGATTTCACTTCCAATAATACGAAATATTGACTTTCCAAAGGATTTGATGATCAATTTCTCTCAACCAATGAGGATTATTTTGGGCCCAAAAACGAGAATTCCAAGTATTGACAGATCCATCACTTTTAAATGTGCATTCGTCAGAAAATAAAATTTTTAAGTGGAAATCACGTGGTTGCTGTCTTATCCAGTTGCAAAATGTAAGTCTCTATTGAAAATCGTTGTAATTCAACGATTGATGAACAGACATTCTGTAAGCATGAAACTTGTTACTTCTTAAAATGTTCCAAACAGTGTTACGACTAACACCAGAATCTCGTTCTCGGCGTCTTAAGGAAATATCGATGGAACAGAGGAACACGTATGGACACGTAAATGAGGCTAGAATAAATATTCTCTGCTGTAAAACACATTTTTCGGTGTAAGAAGACATGAAAAATTTTTGTATTTAAATTAAATTTTTTCATTTTATACGGTTAATTCTTTAATTTTTTGTGGTAACA